AGATGAAACATGATAGAGATGAAATGTGATGTAAGTAAATCATGATGTAGGTGAAACACAATAGATATGAAACACTAATGTAGGTGAAACATATCAAGTGATGGGATCAGTCATACAGCTACAGGGTCAATGGCGAATACTGAGGAAAAGAAAAGAAAAGAAAAGAAAAGAAACCCCTCCTTCAAGCTGTAACACATCCAATAGTGATGCAGTAGTCTTGCACCAGTTCCCTGGACCCCTGGAAGTCCCTCACACCTCAGAAGCGTCCACCAGATCTTACCACGTTGCCTCTGCACAGGTTTTCCCATCCTCATCGCCTATGAATATATCATCTTCTCCAAACCCTGACAGTCCCCTTGCTGCATCTACTAATTCCCCCAGTATGCCACCTCTCACCTCTGATGTCTCTGACAATGGTAGCTTCAACCATGCTCCCAATCTACAGCTATTAGCTGACATCAGCAAGTATGTTACCACGTCAGAAGTGCATAGCAGTGACCCCCAGGAGTTTGTAGTCTACAGTGACAACATAATCCAGCGACCCTCCAATGATGTCACCCGATACTGGCAATCCATTCCCTTCAACACCTCTACCCCAGTTCAGGATGTCAACCCCTTGGAACACGTATTACCCTACTTTCCTGGAGCCTACACTACCACCGTCACTTGGCCTCCTATGGGCGTCCCCATTGATGGCAATCCTGTGTTTGGATTACGATGGGTCTCGACAACTGCAGCAGATGTACTTCATACCGCAGAACCTGTAGAAAATTGGAACTCTTTGGACAAGGAATGGGAGGAGGACACTTGGGAGTACTTGCTGACACGAGATGATAATCTGTTGGAAAGCCTTTGGGCATCGCTGCAGGACATCAAGGACCCTGGCATGGCTGATGAAGTCGATTGCTTCAGGGCTGTTGATGCCAAGATAGACCTCCTACTTGCCACAAGATGATCCATAGGGACAGAACTCATTTGCACACAAGGAGAAATGGACCAGTGTCGAACCCAGCTTAGAGCTGCCAACCTGGAGGAATGTCTTGAACAACACAAATTCTCTATCATCACTCCTCTCTCTGGCACCATGCCCCATCACCTCTGCTTCTGTACCAAATGCAAGATCAATGGTCACCTTCAAAGTGAGTGTTGGCATTGGTTGTGCTCCTATTGTGGCCTCCTGCATCCTCATCATAAATTCTGCACCACCACCGACATCCAACCTGGACAACTTCCCTGTCCCACCGATGAACCTGGGCACCTACAAGAATGACGTGCTCAATGGAAACTCTGAACGATGAATCTGGAGAGGGGGGTAATGTTACAGTGTGAGAGGGGGGATTCTTTTTCTTTTCCTAACTATTCATTGTTGACCCTGTAACTGTATAACTAATCTCATCACTTGATGTGTTTCACCTACATCAGTGTTTCATATCTATCACGTTTCACCTATATCATGATTTACTTATATCACGTTTCATCCTCATCACTGATACAACCCAGTGACACCTGTTTCATATCCATCACTGATCCAACTCAGTGTTTCATACTTATTAA